CACACTTGGTGCATGGCGCTGCCGCCCACCACACGCCGCAGCTCACAGAATCATCATCGGCACAAATGACCTGCAGCAGAGCATGGCCAACCCAAACTTTTTTCCGAATGAAACTGCTACAGTACCTAGGGCCCTAGGGACTCAAGAAAGGCGATGACCTAGGAAGTAGTAAAACTCTTCAAGGAGAAATCGTGTTGCTGAGAAGCGATACTGCCATTCGACATCTTCAGACAATCGTGGAGAACATGGATCGGAAACGTCATGTGCAAGCTGTCGAAATTTGGGCATGTATAGCCCAGAATCTAGCTTTGCCAAGGTCAAAAATGAGAGCGCACCAGACTCACACGCACGCAGCCGATACTTCCTTAAGTCCTTGCGGGCACTGTCTCTAGTCGACCTTTTGAGTCCAGCATGCAGCTCAACATGTGAAGTTCATGCAGGCACGAGCCGTCCAGCATTGCTGCAGACCAAATAACCGGCATGAGACGTTGCAGGCTTCGCAGAAGTCGACTGGACCCCCGAAGCCACAAGCGAGGCTTCAGTCCTTCATGGCCATGCGTGCGCCGAGCTTGCATGGCCATGAAGGACTGAAGCAAAGCTTGACACTTCAGGGTTCGGGCGAATTCTGCTGATTTGGCGGCCTTGAAGGAAGCAAATATGCGGCGACGCCACCGGCTGCAACACCATGACTTGCCATGAAAGTCTTGTGACTTCCCATGGAAGAGGGGCAGCAGTCCGAGAACAGCCTCCAACAAACAATGGCGGGGGCGGTCCCACACCGCGGCATTGGAGTCCAATGCCGCGGGCAGCATCGAGAAAGTTGAGACGCCGCCCGCAACCCTACAACGCCCACGCCATGGTGCTGGATGCCATGCTTGGACAACTGCCCCCCTCTTGTCAGTGCTGCGTGCTCTTGCCTCTTGTTCCCAATTCTGGCTGTTCGCGGTCAAGCACGAAGAATTGCTGAAGGCTGCAGGTGGCAGATGTCGCCCACTTTGTGACTTTGTTGAAGCATGCACGTGCAGCGCAGAGCTATAAAACAATAGCGGATTCTGAGTGATTTTCTCCGGAAAACTCCCAAAATGAAAACGGTAAATACAGAGGCCCTAGAGTACTCATGCTCACGGCCTTCAGTTTGGAGTGTCTTGGCGAGGAAGCTAGCTTTGACTTCGACATGGACTGCGAGGAGATCCATGGGACCGCTGTCACGGCCTCCGCCCCAGCCATCCCAAAGCCGGCAA